AATGCTCGGCTCAAATGCATCAATTGCGTTCGATACCGCCTGTGATTGTTTCAGTCGGTTTTAACAGTTCATAATACACTACGCCGAGCTGGTCCCACCAAATACAGAGCATGACCTTGGACGTCAAAATCACCATTCTTGAAGCGTTGAAACTACTCACGACACGTTCTTTCACTAATAGCGGCCTCACCATAAGTATTTGAGAGCATTCGATGAGCCTCAGCCGCAGATTTCTTCATATTGAAGCAAAAAATTAAAACCTCCCGCAAATGATGAGAATTTGGCTCGTAAACTGACATTTTCAATCGAGAATAACTTTATGATGCAGACACAAATCGACTAATGTTTCTATGGAGTTATGTTGACAGATGCCTAAGTTTATTGTATAACGTCTATGATCTATTTATTTTGACCACCACTTATCGCTAAAGCCATCTATAGGAAAACGGCGAAAACAAAGTTGTACACCTAATATAAAACTACAGAATGATTTTTCTAACAAAAAAAAAGACATAATTCGGTCGTGTCATGAAAATTGTTTATAGCGTATATATTTTTAAATCAGAATTATGTAATGTTAACGAATTCATTATATAAAAATAATATTTACATTAATAATAATAATAATAAATAGTAATAAGTTAAAAATAATAATTAATTAAATACTATATGAAAATTATAATTAAATGAATAATTATGTATAAAAAAATGATATATTGCATGAAAATTGTAATTAAATGTGAAGTTGTAATTTAATAATATACACACACACACACACGCGCGCGCGCGCGCGCGCGTACGCACTCATGCATACTTTATTACGAGAATATTTTATCGTATACAAATATAATAGTCTACACAATATATATAGCTTCTCCGAAAAAATTTGATTTAATTTTTTAGTAAAACTTAATTTTATTAATTCTTTGCCATACTTTCCTCTTACAAATTAAAAAAAAAATTAAGCTTTGTACGAACGATATATCACGGCTCTTACTCGTGATATTCATGTTTGGCTCGATTTCTTTACCACGAGTTTTATATAATATAGTAGACGAAAGGACTAATTATATTTTATGAAAAGGAGATCCAGCTAATCTAATCTAATCTGCAATTTCAACTTGTTGAAGATAGCCACATTCCTGATTGGAAATCGACTCATATATACTAAAAATTGAGATCACATAAAAAGTGTGTACTTATACTGTGTGTACTTATACTGTGACCTATGCGACTATTGTAGACGAGGCTTTATATGAATAGACTGCAGACTCAATGTGATAGGAAGAGATGAATCTGATTTCAAGTTGTCCTTGTTTCAGTTCCTTCTTCTATATGTGTATACATGCATTCTGTCTGTAAATATCGCGTGAATTTATGTGAAAAACACTACGTTAGTCATAACAGAAATTATCACAAATGTCAAATGTTATTTTATGGTGACCTTTCATTCTATTATATTCTGATTAACAAAAATATAAAAAAAATGATAATTTGTAGTATGATAAACTGCAAAAGTTGATATAAAATAAGAAATAATATAAATATAGGTCCTGTAAAATTTGACTTACGCAGTGATTATTCATGTAATTTATACATGTAAGGAAACTGAAATATGGCCACCCAGTGCTATCTTCAAACATGAAGGCGAAGTTAGCAGTCTATAGAAGTGATTCCTACCGATAATCTATCGCGATAATATATGTAAAATTACAATTTTGAAATCTAAACATTTATCTAATAAATGGTAGATAAAATAAAATTAGTCTATACATAGCTTGTTATTTTTGACTTAAATTTTCATTATTGAGACATTTTTTTATGTATTAAAACAAATAAATAGAATATAACATTTTACATTGTTTACATTTTTTCCTCTTCTTGTTTTCCCCATTTTTTTTATCTTCTCATTTTTCTTTTTTTCATTTTTTTTAAGTACTTAAAAAGTTACTTTCGGATACGTTTTTCTTTTATCTATATCTATACTTAAGTAATTATCAAAAAATATATCTGTACTTATACTTAAATACTTTTTCCACACAATACCTATACCTATATCTAGAAATCTTTCAAATGTATTTGTTCTACAAAATGTATCTATTCTAATACTGGTCAAATGACTATGTCACATCTGTGTCTGATTCTGATACAAATTTCTGACGGCGATATGTAACTCGTATGCGATCGTGTATGATCATGTGTTCAATCCTGCAGCTGGCATGTGATCGTATACGATAATAGATTCATATACTTCGTAGGCAATCGGATATGTTCGTATGCCTTTCATATACTATTCAACAAGTTTATTATACAAGTTTTATATATCAAATTTATGGTAAGATAATTACTTTGTACAGTAAGGGTTAATAACAAGTCAATAATGAATAGATTCGATATTTCAGCTGATCGAGCATACACTATATCTGCATTAAATTTTTGTTTTGTCGGCAAAAAACTTCTGGATATAATCTAACAGCAGACTAACAATGAAACATAAATCTGTTATTTCAATCATTTATGAGGCATTTTATTTATATAAATAATATGAAATGGCAAATTCTCACTTCCGATGATCTATTATCACATTTTATTTATAGATTCTAGATATTAGGTTTGGGAAAAACGCCACGACCTTTTTCACCTAATATTTCCGCTGAAGAAATTTCCAGTAAATGTTTCGTAAAATCTGCTTTTCAACTAGTTCGAAAAAAGGTTGAATAATCTGATTTATCTGACACGTGTGGATAATAAATAAAGTTCGACAAAAGTGTATTTTTGATTCTCTGTCTTTAGTGAGTTTTCCATGATTACTATGAAATTTTTCTTGAATCTGAGAGTAAATTTTACTGTCAGAATAAATTTCGCAGAGATTCAATAAATGCAGCATGAGCAGCTCGCATTGGCTCGGCTTTTGTGTAAGTGTTGACATTTTATTAGTCATCGCGATTCAATGACCGATTCGATCGATTTTTACAATAGCCTATGAAGTTAATTGATAGTCTCGCGTTACAATATTATCCTCGTGACACGCCGCGTACTTATCTGCGACAAATTAATTAACGACTAAATTATAAGGCGAGTAACAAAAATTTCGTGTACGTGTCCAATTGTTCTTCTTCTAATCACTTAATTGTTCTGTCGTGCGAGAACAAAGTGGCATGCGTGATTAAAATAGTACTTACGCGTTTCCATTTCGTGTGCGTTAACGGTGCATAAGTAGAAAGTGCTCGGCAAAACAGATTCAAGGTTTCGCGTGCAATATTATTCATGGACTCGCGAACGATCGACTTCTCTAAGATAACGACAACGGTACTGAGAAAAGCACGTGTTCACGTTGGAAACTCAGTTAGCCCGTCTCTTCCTAATGACCGTGTCACATAATTGAATTCAATGCCGATGACAAAGCGGTCATTAGAGGCGTGGAAAATTCGTTCAATATGACATGCAAAGAATATCAATTTCATTATCAAACTCCGCCAATTTCCAATAGAAAATGATTCAACATTTTAGAAACTAATGACAGCGGCAGAAAAACTTCATTTTTAGTAGTAGGGACAATTTTGTTACGACGATAATAATTGATTTCTTTATATATTAACGTAATAAAATATTTACAATATAATTTCGAAATAATATTCATTATTTCAAAAATTCAATTCATAATCGAGAGATAATTTTTTATTATGAAAAGAGATATGTATTCTTCCTTTCACAATTAAAATTATCTCTACAGTATGATAATTTATCGTAAATTGAGAATGACTTTATTATCACATAATTATCTAAAATCATTTTTCTGTTTAAAACTATTCAAACTTTCAGAAAAAAAATGTAACATAATATCGAATTATTCTTATGTTTAAGAAATGATTCATACGAGACTCTCGAGATTACACTTTTTTTATCATGGAATTTTATCGATTTTTCAATTATATTTTTTCTCTGAAATTTTTTTCTGATATCACCCTACCACATATCATTTTCATAAGTTACAGTTATACGTTGCACATCACTATAACTGTATCCCAACGGGCGTGCCCATACTTGTTTATCATCTCAAGATATTGTCGCGATAAACATTAACATAAGAACAGTCATTGTATGATAACCGTTCACTCAAATTTTATATGTACTGATATCGAAAGATATTACAGATTTTCTTCTATAAATACATTTCTCGAGACATTTCTCGTAATGCTCCGATTTTAATATAGACTTTATTTCGTATATTAAATATAAATAATAATTTCCCATTTGACTCATGTTATAGATATAATAATTTATTAATTTTTAAATGGATGGTTTTTTATATTCATGAAATAAAAATACAACGGCTAATATGAAAACGTTTAACAAAATATTTCAATTTTAATTATTTAAAAAAAATAAAAAAGAATTTTTAATTTTGTGCTAAATCTGAGACTATTTAATTGTTTCTCTTTGGATTTCGAAATAACATCGTTTTTCTAATGAAAATGTTTTAGATTATCAACTCTGAATATTAGTATGGTTCAAAATATCTCAGAAAAAAATTGTATATATAACTTTTTGTCAATTTATTTCTTCAAAAGTAGAATGTTAAAAGTCAATAATTTGTATCATAAAATTATTTGTTAAGTGTAAATATCAATAGAAGTAATTCATTTTTTTTCGTCCATTTAAGTCTGACGCGTTATAACGAGATATGAACAAGAATTATATAGACTGTATACGCCTATCAATCGCCTCAAAAAACAAGAAATAACTTGATACGATGCATGCTTGCGATATGCTATCATATAATAATTATAATAACTCTTCTGTATAATAACTCACAAATACCTTCCTAATTCTTAGGAAAGATGCGCTATACTCAACAAAGTTCAGTAATTACAATTAATGTTTCAAAAAGAATTAATGAGACAAAATAATTCTACAAGGAATTCTTCTTTACAAGCGATGGTTTTAAAATTGCCATGATTTTTACGTAATTTTAATCAAAATATTTCAAACTGCAATACCTTTTGTCGTGGACGTACGTGGTGTTCTAGGTGTTCCAGGAACGTCTAAATCGGTTTCTTCGATATTGTCACTCCACGAAATCGCCCTCAAAGGTAAAGGTTTCTTGATTATCGAGTTGTCATCTTCGCCATCGTACATCTTTAGCTTCGCGCACTTACTAGATACTCCGTTCATGATTGACAATCTTCCGGCACCGATCGTTCGATTCTTGATGCTTCCGATATTCCGATTCGGGAGATTTGAAGGTTTTCAAATGTGTCGAGCGGTTCAGAATAGTTGTATTGTACCTAGAAACATTTGAAACATTTGTATTGTCAAAAACGAATTCATAAAATTAACTAAATATATTAGAATCTCGGAGTTAGATACGATACATTTTTGTATAAACGCTTCCGCGTTTATAAACAATATCAATGTCAAACAATATCAAAGATATTGAAATATCTTATTTCAATATTAAATAAAACAATGATAAATATATAAAACAATGATCTCTTCTATCTCTTCTATCATTATCTTACTTCTTTAGCATCATTATCTTACTTCTTTATCTATTTTTTATTTCTTGAAAATTTAAGTGACAATGATAACAGTTCCATTGCAATATTAAAATAATCAGAAGTCTTCTAAAATTAAACAAATCTTGTAATCGTTGTTATGCATTTCAACTGAATTTCCTTTTTATTCAATAAAATGTAATAAACATTAGATATCACTTTAAAAAGCCTCTAAACACTAAACATCACTCGCAGTTACCGCTTGACATTTAACATTTGTCGTATCAAGAACTTATAACTCCGCGTCACGCGCACTAAAAACAATCAGTGTCGCTCGCGAACCAGAGAACTTTTCGAAATAATCAAATTTCACACAATAAAATTCAGATTTAAATATTTACATGAGATAAAAAAACAGAGCTTCTCGAAACTTTTCTACATCTGATCCTGATGGACTGATGACTCGAACTTACTTCTAACACGGCTTGCTGTCTCGTGGCAAAAGAAGCTGTGTTCGTCCTAACAACGATCTCGGAAGCTACGCGCCGGCAAGAGCTGTGCGTGACACACGCGAGGGTGGCACGTGCAAAGCAGAACAGAGGAATCACGACTAAGAGAAGATAAGCCGGCACCGCATGCACAAGCGACGGACGCGTGGAGGAGCCGCGACGATACTCAGGACGGGCGAAGCGCGACTGATGTGGACTGATGCGAGTATTGCGAGCTCAACCGAACGTAGACCAAGAGACGGTGGTGACCGAACGTCACCCACGAGTCCTTTCGTATATATGCGCGCGGCTCCTGTTTCTCTCTCTCTCTCTCTCTCTCTCTCTCTCTCTCTCTCTCTCTCTCTCTCTCTCTCTTTCTCTCCCTCCGTCAGCTATTCCTACTATATCACAAAGAGTTACGAGCCCCTCTCGCGTCAGAGATTACGGGAAAGACAAAGAAAGAACGATTTTACCTCCGATGTGCAAACGCACTGGGGTATCCAAATATTGCATCAAATCATTAGAATATTGATAAATATCAAGTTAGTAATATAATATTAAAAATCGCATTCAAAGAGATTTTCGATTTAGCGTTACCAAGTCTCTTAGTTTCTCTTTCTCCTTGCATCACTCGCATTGATGATCGATAATACGGAAATGACTTTGCAGGACTCAGAATCACCTGATCCTTGAGATTTGAATGCAATGGAGGGAATTAATAGAATCATGCTCTTTTGGATTTCCTTCTTTTCTTTTGTATTTTGTATTGATCTATCCATGTCTCTTTCATCCATTCTGTCAAAAAAATTACTTAGATATTATTATAAGATATTATTGTAAAATTATAAGATTAAGATCTTTAAATAAAATTAATATAAAGATTTAATAAAATTTGACTGTAAGCTAATTTAACTGTAAGCTAATTGATAAGATAAGCTTAATTGATTGGAACACTGCTTGATAAAATTTATTTTTATAATTGATTTGCCAAAGAATTAGTCTTAGATTAATTGAAAAAAAGAAAATTAATTGAAAAAAAATTAGAAAAAGAAAAGGGACTTTTTATAAGTCTGTAAATTCTAGAACATAGAAAAGCTTAATAATACTAGACTATTTCGGTTGGTAGGGAAATCCCGACTTTTTTTACGTCAGCTTAAAGTGTAATCAGAAAAATCCTTAGGGAACTGAATCTGGGATTTCCACTTGGTTGTTTCCCACAAATGTAATGCATAGCCACCTCATGTCTCATTAAGACATTAAGTCGTCATTCTTTCCTTCGTCATTGAAACTATACTGATTTTCTTGCTAATTAAATCTTTAAATAATTCTACATGTGTACATGAAATGTGTGCATGATACATAGGTAGAATAGTTTTTCTGCCTATACTTACAATATTTATTACAATTTATTCTGAAACGAACGTTTAAAAAGATGAAATTTTATTCTATTCTAAGATTATAGATTTCTCTCTCTGCAGTTAAGATTTCATTAATAATTTATAGCATAGAAGGTATGCACAAAATAAAAATAAGAAATAAAGAATGAGTAACACGCTTAGCATAATAATTTCGTTTTACAAAATTTAATATAAGATATAAGCAGAACAACAAGTTATTTATGATATTAAATGATGTCAAAATAATTTCAAAATAATCATTAAAAGTTATTTTTCAATCATTTCCGATTCATTTTAATATCATTTTAACGTTATCATGACGTTATATCACTTGTTCTGCTTGGATATAGTAATTTAGATATGTGTGTAGAATATAAAATTAACACAAAAATATAAAATAAATGTAAAATGATTAAATGTATGATATGCACAGTTTAATTTATATTTCTGTTGTACATTAATCGCGCCTATGTAACGTTTGTCAGCGTTGCACTCAAAAAAAAAAGAATCGCGCGATTTTTAAATTATAAATGCTATTTATTAAATTAAAATATGCTACAAGAAATCGCCGCGCCGTTTTATTCAAGTGACGTAAGCATGCACGCACACACACACACACGCACGAATACATACACATGACTGCACCAAAGTGTCCTATACACTTATACCAAAAAAGAAAATAAAAGAAGCAAAAATAGGATAAATGGATTTTGCGAGAGTCGACCGAGGAAAGTACCTATGTCATAGTGAATCCCGACGTCAAACAACCGGTTCTTATATGATATATGCATTACCATTTCCTTGCAGAAAAAGGGACAGGTTTATTTTTTGTCCATTTCCTCTATATCATATTTTCAATTTTTGCAAAAAATGTAAAAGATTAATCCGCATCTTCGAGTTAGTTACTCACATCCAGATTGTTTCGAGCTTTAAATGTCCATCCTCCTCAAGAAAAAAATGTTGAAATAGCACTACTTTTTGTTTATACATGTTATATAAAATTTACAGTTTGAATCACGAATAAAGAAATATTAATATCGAGACAAATTATAAATCCGAGATAATATTAACATTCTATTCTTATTAGCACACATTATATAAGTGATCTATTAAAATCATCAATTACTGACACGACTACTTTTTTATTTTTTATGTCCTTCGAAAGAGTTATATAATATATCGCGAAATATAATATATCAAGCCCACTTTAGACAATCTATAATTTTTTTTTTATCAGAAAGATATATAATTCTATTTATTTTGTCAATTAAGATGTCTAAAACAAATTTCAAATTCTGTTGTCGCCGCATTAAGAATTTCAATATTTGAAATTTGTTGCTATTCTTGTATCGAGCGTTAGAGAAAACCCATCTGTCGCTAAAATTAAAATTTCTGAAACATTTTGTATTACATCCCTATGCAGTAAGCACAGTGCATAGTGAATACAGAACGAGACATGTACAAGGAAGAAGATTAATCCAGCAAACGAGAATGAATTGAAATAGATTAAAATGGATTCAGATTTTCAGAAATATGGATTCATAAATGTTAAAATGAATCTTTTTCAATCTTGAATGCATTTTTATTCATTTATAGGAATTGCATAGAACACATCTCTATGCCTTTCAATTTAAAAATAATATTAGCATTTTCTGTGCATCGTGAATACTGTTCAATTCAATATTTTGAATATGAAATGCAGTTTTTCAATCCAATTGAAAAAAAAAGGTTTTTATTTAAAAATGAACCATAAATGCTACTTAAATTATTCAAAATTATAAATAGGAAATTTTTTGTTTTAATCTAATTAAATTCAAAAAAGTTGTAACGTAAAAATAATTGAGTTCTTTGTTCTTTTGTTTCTCTTTGATTAGAAGTAAAATGAATTATCGATGTGAACACTCGCAAACCAAATCTGAATATTACGATCATGTGACATCGGCTGAGATTAGATTATCCGACACTTATCCAAGTTGTCTCATTATAATGTAAATTGTTTATATTTTATTATATCTGTTAAATGATTTTTTATTATATCTATATAATTTCGTGCACTGGTTCAGCTGGTTATAATTGAAGTAGAGAATGAATGACACATTTACCAATTGAAGAAGTATAGCGGACAACGTAGAAGATTCATAATTCAGAGGTTCCAGAGTCGAATCCCGCTAAGGTGCGTTTTTTAATATCAATTTAATTTCAAATATAATTATTATAAATGTCTTAGGAATAAAATTTGTAACCCTTAAATATGAATGTTTTTTTTTCGAATATTAAACTAGTCGGATCCAATTCATTTCAATCCATTCAATCCATTTTCATGGATTTAAAGTACGCATTAAAAAAATTTTAATCCATTTTAATTCATTCTCGTTTACTAGGAATATATTAGATTCCTACACACATCTATTATAGCAGTCATACCTGGTTAGATGCAAGGTCGGATAGGCTATCAAAGGATTGGTTTTACCCTCGATAGTGAAAATGCGCATTACCAAGTTGGCCTCGATACTTTTTGCTCCTGTATCTGTATCTTTTTCCATATAAGAGAATTCATAGCGGAAGAACTCGATTCTTTTGACGACACGCTTCCTACATAGACATTCTTTACAGAAACGAGTAATTGGAGAGAATTTGCAAATCCCTTCTAGTAGAATTAAAATTTTTACATGAAATTGTATATTCGTAGAAAAAAATTAACGAAAAAATACTAAAATAAAAATACTAAAATAAAATAATATACATAAAAGTATACAGTGCCTATCAAAAGTTCCAAGCCAGCTGAATATCTCGGAAAGTGCATTTTTGAAATAAATGTTTCAGATAAAAATTACAAGATTTAAAAAATCTATTTAATGATTTTATTAGTTTGACCTTGTGATGTCATCAAGATCAAGTCAAGATTACATCGATTTTTTAAAAAATATTCAACTTTTATTTTCAGAATTTAATGTCATAATATAAAGCTGATGTCGAAAGCTTTCCAAAATGCTATAAGAAAATATTTTTTCATTAAGTACTTTTTGAGTTATATACTTGACAGTACCGCCGGCATTAACATTACCCAAGGTGTCCGACTGACGCTAAAACCTTTTGAATGTTGTTCAGGATCATATCCTGAATATCATTTGTTAAGAGGCTATTCTTTTGAGATTATTCTTCTTATTTTCATTTTTGCACTAAAAATTCATTTTTACATAAAAATTAAAATAAGAGGTACAACCTCCAATGGCTTTGATCTTGACAAATGATATCCAAAACCATGATGAAATAGACATGGTGTATTTTTGCGCATGTTATCTACTGCAGTCATCAAAGCTTGATCTTTTTTTCGATGATTTTATTTTATTTTAATTTTTTTCGAGGATTTTATTTTAATACACTTGCTATGACAGTAAAACTCAGTTTCACACATAGTAAATAATAACGCTTATTTATAATAAATAATTACTTATTTATTATTTTTTTTACTATTATTTATTACTGTTCACTTAATATTTAATATATTTTTTAATCGTTTCAAATCATATGACAACCGTGCTGATATATAGAATTGTAAAATGGTGGAAAATGAGGTCAGCGTGTTGTCACAGTATAAGTACATACAGTATGAACACTGAACTTTTTATGTATCTCCAATTTTTAGTTCGTATGCGTCGATTTCCAACCAGAAATAGGTAGACAGGCTGTCTTTAGTAAGTTGAAACTGCAGATTAGGTTAGATAGATCTCCTTCCCATAAAATGGAACCCTTTCGCCTACAATATCATGTGAGACTCGTGGTAAGGAAATCGAGCCGGGTAAAAGCCGTGATATGTCATTTGTACAAAGCTTAATTTTTTTTTTAAT